TCGACTATGTTGCCCTGCTAAGCACTCCATGACACCCCTTTACTTTTCCTTCAGAGCACTCTCCAAAGTTTATTGAATTTATCAAATGATCTTATCCATCCTTAATATGATATAAACAAGAAACAACTTCATTGTTCTCCCATCATTTGTTCTAGCCAAATTCTGTTGGATCTTTCTTCTCTACACTTTTAGGACATTTCAGGCAAATTTCTTGGCTTTCTGGCAACTTTCAGTTACATAACAATTTCATTAGTCAATTGTGACTCATTTTCAGAAATTAAAAAGACATATCTAAATCAAAACTTTTATTTCACATCCAAAGCAAAGTTTGTCCCCTCTCCATGGTTTCAACTCAAGATATGAGATGCTCCCTCACTCTTCACCCTTCTCCTGCCACCCCCCTTCCACTTTCAGCATCTCTAAAGTCAGGTCAGAAGGTAGAATTAGAAAAACAGTGACCAAATTATTTTTACTTAATCAGTGCTATTTGTATGGTTCCTTGCAGCCGGTGCCTGCTCTGTGCCCAGATATCCCAATGCTGGCTCTCTGAGGGTAAACCTATTCACAGGGTCACCAGTGGCTCCCTGTGGGACCTCCAAGCTGTGCAGTGCCCTGACACGGGTAATACACTGCTTGGTTGACAGCTTGCATTGCTCAAACGCCAACCTCAGCTTCTGTACTCAAGTGATGCATTCAGTGGCATCTTAGCGGCTCCCTCACCCCAAGAGGACTCCGCTAGACTCAGGAGGTCCCATCTGGATGGACCGACTCCAGCTACCTTCCTCAGGACCATCAGCTGCTTGGGAAACTCATGTCTTCTTTCCTCTCCAACAGTGATGCCCACACCGCTCTCTCTTCCCCAGATGCCTTCTGCTCAAGAATTCTCCAGTTTCTATGATCACATAAGACCTCCAACTCCAGGGGTGGGTCAGGCTCTCACACAACTTCTAGATCACATTTCTGTGATCCCATGAGAACTGTAAGGCTCTCTATCTCACAGCTCAGCTGACATCCAACTGGATAGCGAGAAAAATAGTTGACTTCTTGCAGGCACCCCAATCTTTTCAGTGATTCCCTCGGGGTCCTTGTCACTCGGCTAGAGGCGGGGGAACCCTTCTGTTCCCTCCCCATAGGAAGGAAGGAGGGAAACACTTCAGCACTCACTTACCAGCTAATAACTCTTTGCCTGGGCAGCTCTCTTCAATCACTTTCTGAATTCCTGGTTTTCTCCTATGTGGATTGAAAATAGATGATGGTCAGTGTCAGATCCAGCTGGCCTTTAACAAGTTCTAAGTGGATGTGTGAGCATTGATTGCTCATTGCTCTCTGTTTTGTGTCCTCAACTGAAATTCCAAGTGGATGGGAATTAATACCCAATTAACATCCCGTTAAACATAGTTCTGTGATTATTTGATGAATGTTTGTCTTTCCCACTAGATTTTGTCTCTACAAGCACTCTACATTTGCTCTCCACTGAACACCAAGATCAAGCATTCAGCATCTGGCATATAGTAGCAGCTAAATAAACATGTGATGAAGTAATGAATAAAAAAGCAGGATGAGAGACAAAGAAAACCAGATTTGTATCACCAAAACTCCCAGGTTTGGAAGGACTAAGAGATGGGGCATCATTTGAGCACGAGTAGATAAAGCAAAGGTTCCCAGAGCCTGACGGCCCATCAGAATCACTCACATAGATTTTTAAAACATAAATGCCTGGTATGCTGATTCAGTAGATCTAGTTAAGAACCAGCGAGCTCAATTGCATAAGACAGGTTCAAATAATGGGCTAGGAGAGTTCAGGGAAAAGCAAGCTTGCGCCTGCTTGAGAATATCAGGGAGACTTCCTGGAGAAAGTGATGTAAACGGAAGATAAATGTGAACAGGAGAAAGGGGCACGGAGAGGACATGGTTAGTTGGGACTTGCTGCCGCAGGAGATGACATTAATATAAGCAAGGCACTGGAGAAGAGAAGATTCAATTCCTAACAGAACCCAGTGCATCTGTGGGGAGGAGGAGGAGGAGATAGGTGCAGCTCATCTGATTTCAAGTGGTCTGGATGCAGAAACCTGATCTTGTTATGTTAGCAACACCCTAGGGAGGAAATGTGATATAGTGGTTGGTGGGTCAGTCGTGGATCAGACTGTTTAAATTACTCATTTATAAAAGGAGGATAATAAATTTATTCACCTCAAGAAATTATGGCAAGAACTAAAGGAGGTGATGCTTGTAAATGCATTAGCACATTGTGCATGCTCATTATACACCAGCTAGAACCTTCCTTTTTTAAACAATTATAGCACCTAGCAAAAAGTGCGTGTGTGAGAGAGAGAGAGAGAGAGTGAGAGAGAGAGAGAGATATCAGAGATCTGCTGAGCCGGCTCAGACCAGCCAGCAAGGGCCAACTGTGCACATGCCTTCCCCACTTTGTATTCAATGAAAATCAGGTTGTAGTTTGAAACTGACCATGATAGTTATTTACACCAAGAAAATTGACAAAAGTTACAAATCTAAACTTTTTTTTTTTTGAGAGCTGTTAGATGCTCTGGGAACATCGACTGGATTGGAATGGATTGAACTGAAACCAGTTGAAAAGTAAACTTTCCAGGGGGCGAAAAGAGCATAGGCTGAGAGATATAATAAAAATTGCCTACCTAGCCGAGACAGAATAAGACCCTGACCTTGGAACAAGTGGCAGGTAAAAATGGAATCTGAATTTTTACTCTGAGCCAACACTCCCTTTAGCATATTTCTCAGCCCATCACTTTTCACCACTGTTTCCAAAATAAGTATGAAAATAACTTAGTGAAATAGACACTGCCAGGCTTTATCCACATCTGAGGCCTGAATGCTCTAGGACTGCAACCCCCAAGCCCCAGACTAAAGACCAGTACTCGTCGGTGGCCTGTTGCGAACCAGGCCACACAGCAGGTGAGCGGAGGACAAGCAAGTCAAGATTCGTCTGTATTTAGAGCTGCTCCCCATCGCTCAGATCACGGCATAAGCTCCGCCCCCTGTCAGGTCAGCTGTGGCATTAGATTCCCATAGGAGTGCAAACCCTACTGTAAACTGCATGTGCGAGGGATCTAGGCTGCGCGTTCCTTACGAGAACCCAATGTCTGATGATCCGAAGTGGAGCTGAGGCAGCGATGCTAGTGCTGAGGAGCAGCTGCAAATACAGATTATCGTTAGCAGAGAGATCTGATTGCACAATAAAGGTAACACACTTGAATCATCCCAAAACCATCCCCTACCCTGGTCCACGGAAAAATTGTCTTCCATGAAACCAGTCCCTGGTGCCAAAAAGGCTGGGGACCACTGCTCTAGGAGACAATTTCAAAGGTTCATTCTCTCTGGGAAGAAGAATAAGTCTAGGAGAATATAGATTATAATAAATTATCTGAGATGAAAAATAATTTTTTAAAAAATCAAATCTGTATTAGAAAACAGAAAAAATACTGTGATACTTTAATGATACAAGAAACCTTATCCTCAAAGGCGTGATAAACAGCATTAATGGGAAATCAGAGAAGTCGTGAATGATGCAAAAAGCAAATATGAATATCCACAAGTTGTATCAACACTTGGCCAAGTTAAGGCAGAAAAATAAGAACATATCTATTCTTTTATTGGTCAACAAATTCATTTACTTCTAAGCTGCCTGGAAGAGATTGTGCTATTCTAAAGAAGAGTGAGTGGTAAAAGACCGTTTAAAAAATCATAACTTATAAACAAATAAACGAACATATTAAAAAGTGGCAACATCTCAAATTGAGTTTGTTAAATGGGTAACATCAAGCACCAGCAATTTGTTAGAGAATATTAAGAACTGTGAGGAACTTAGAAATGATCAAGGACAACATTTTACTTTGAAGATGAGAGAAAAAACCCAGGGACTCTATCTGATTAAGATTCTACTCTAATTTAGCAAAAACTTATGACTAGCTCCTATGCTCAAGATACTGTTTTGACCACACCATGATGGCATTCAGATTTTGGACAGCCAACAAATTCAAAAGACCATTTCCTCCATATTGAAGGATGGATACCTAAAGCAAATAGAGCCCATTTGAATGGGAGCCCACCAATCTTCTTGGTCAGATTTGTGGTCAGTGTTCACTTCTCTAACTCCGGAAATATTTCTTTCCATTAGAGTTCTCATTGCTTGAGAAAAATGAGATGAAAAGCAAGATAAAAACAAGATTTTTTTCAGTCATTTAATTTCCATAAATGACATCATAAATTATATATTGCTGTTGCCAAGGAGATATAAGAAATACATAGCAGAAGGAAACAAAGAAATTGATTGCTCCAAAGATGACTAGTCACAGGCTTTGGGGAATCATTCTGCCTTTTAAGTTGTTATGATCAGTTCTTTAAAGCACAAAGACATATTTGTTTTCTGAAAAAAACTCAATCATTTATCGATTCAGCAAAGAACAAAGAAAGCATCAGAACAGTATTCGTAACCCTCTTTCTTTTCACAGTACGTAGAATGAGGGACATTTTCCTGCCATATTTACCAAGAGTGGGGACAGTGTTCTTTGTTATTCCACGAGACACCATCCTATGTCCAGAATCTAAAGATTCTATCTCAAAAACCTCTCAAATAGGAAATGGCTCTTTTCTCTAAGTTAACAACTAATTTCCAGTCAGTGAGTAATTTTTTTTTCCTGAAAGATCCACTCAGTGGAAAACAAATGAAGAGGGAAAAAATTAAGTAAACAAATCTAAAAATGAGGCCACAACACACAGAGATGGAGAAGCCTCTAAACTTACCAGTCAAGGATCGCAGGCAATTAAAGTTCATCCCAAACAAAACCGTAATTTTAACCGGTCCCTGAGTTGAGCCTCCCTCGATGAATGACTTCCAGGGCCTCTGGCTCTTTGGGACTAAACGAGAAAATTATTTTTAGCACAACTATTTGGAAATCTTTGAGAACTTGGATCTGTTATTCTGTCTGGTACCAAAGCAAGGTTTTCGCTGAGCTCTCATGAAAGATCCCCAGTCTCTTGTGGATTGAGAATCCTGCAGCAACCCACCACCCAAGAGCAAGGTACGGTATTTACGCTTTTTTCTAGAATGCTAGCAAATGTGGATGTAATGGCCTGTTTTCATTCTGATAGCTTTTTAGTTTGTTAAACAGATGGTTCTGTAGGAAGAATCCATGGAACTGAAGACCTGGGTTCCAGTCTCTGGCCTGACACTAGCTTTGTGACCAGAGGCAAGTTACAGGACTTCTTTGGACCTTGGTTTCCTGTCTAACCTACTACAAAAGGGTCTTTGGGAGGATGATATGGACTTAGCATTGCTCTTCAGAGGATAAAATTTCTTGCAAATGTCAGTTTTTTTCTATTGTTGTGCCATCAAAGCACTTTACATAAAGCAGCCAAAACTTTATAAATTGTGAATGGCTGATAAAAATAAATATTGGTGAATACGTATTTTTCTTCACTCAACCTCTGTTGAGCCTCTACTGTAGACTAGTCTCTGTCCTGGATATCAGTGACACAGAGTTCACATTTTCGTGGGGAAACAAGCAGGTCAGTAGATAGCCATAACACAACGTCATTGTGGGGCCTTGCAGGGACTCGAGGAGGCCAGGAGAAGGAAGGTAATTCCTGGAAAACAGGAAAGTCAGTTCTGTGGAGGACAGTGGGAGTGCCAAAGGCAAGGACCTGAGGCACCACAGCACAGAAGGAACTGAGGCGTGGACAGCTCAGGTCCCCATCCTGCCCCAGCACACTGTGACTCCCAGGATAGGGCCTGCTGTTGTGAAATCTCTACCTCTGCAGGCCAAGGAAATGTCTAGTTTTGGCTTTCCCTGATTACCTATCCTCTTTCTAATGATTTCCAGGCAAAGCACATTTGCAACTTGAATTAATAATCAAATCCAGCCCTTTGTCATGAAGTAATATGTTACAGTTTCCCTCACATGATGTAGGGGAAAACTCAAGTGTTTGGAAACAAACGGACTCAGTTCAAATCCTGACTGTGCCATTTCATGCCTGTGTGGCCTTGAGGCCACCGAGTCTCAACTTTCTTATTTGTAACGGGAAGATAATAGCACCTACTTCATAAACAGTGGTGTGAAGATTAAGTAAAGGATGTCCTTACAACACCTGGCACAGAAATAAGAATACTGGTTTTTCCCTGCATCCCAATTCATCTCTTTTTTTACTTACTATTTTTTATTGTGGTAAATTATGCATAACATGAAATTTACCACTTTAAACCATTTTTATGTGTACAGCATTAAGTACATTCATGTTGTTATGCAAATATCATCATCGTCTCTCTGGAAATTCTTCATCTTCCCAAACTGAAACTCCGCACTCATTAAGCAATAACTACCCATTCCTCCTGCCCCGCTTCCCCCAACAACCACTATTCTACTTTCTGTCTCTATGAATGTGACTACTCTGGGAGCTTCATATGGGAGGAATCACAATATTTGTCCTTTTGTGACTGGCTTATTTCACATAACACAACGTCCTCAAGGTTCATCCATGTTGTATCAGGTGTCAGAATTTCCTTTCTTTTTAAGGCTGAATAATATTCCATTGTATGTGTGGACCATGCTTTGTTTATCTACTCATCTGTCGATGAACCCTGGTTTGCTTCTGTCTTTTGACCATTGCGAATAATGCCACTGTAAATATGAGTGTGTAAATATCTGTTTTAGTCTCTGCTTTTACTTCTGGATATATACTCAAAAGTGGAATTGCTAGAGCATATGGCAATTCTGTCTAATTTTTTCTTTTTTGAGGAATCCCTATAATGTTTTCTGCAGAGGCTGCACCATTATACATTCCCACCAACATCTATTTTTAAAAGAAAGAAAAATATGCTACTTACACAGGGATCTCAATCTATGAACATATTTTTCAGGAGTTCAATCTTTGCACTGATTTAATCAGTATTTCTCCAAGTGCAGTATTTCTCCAAGTGTTTTCCATGGCTAGTTTAATAAGAACAAAGGGTTCTTTGGTGCTCCTCAAAAACACTTGATATGTTCTGCCTTAGGGCCTTCCCATGTCTCTTACCTCTGCCAAAAACCCTCTTCGCCAAGGTGTCCATATGTCTCGCTTTCTCACCTCCTTCTTCACAAATTTGGCCCAATTACAGAGCAGTTTCCAGGGCTGAGGGGTGGTGGCCCTGCCTCCCCCGTGTGTCTCTGGCTCTGCTCAGGGATATGTCTCCCTTCAGGTGCTCACAATGCTTCCCATGGGCTCAGGCATGGACAGGTCTCCTGCCAGAGAACCCAAGATGGTCGTCCATCTCTATCTCACTTTGTCCAGTGTGGAAATCATGAGTCAGGGGAAATTTTCCACAAGTTTGGTGCAGGGTAGATTGTGGGGAGGGGTGTTGCATATATGAAAATCTGATTCTCTTACTGTCTGTTTGAGAGTTTTTTTACTTCTCTGTGGCCCCAGAACTGACTCATTCTCATAGTTGTGTTATGGGATACTGCTGGTGAAATCTCAGTGCTGTATATTTGTTTCTGGTTTTCTGCTCACATCTACACCACCATTTTGGAAACAGAAGTCCAGTTTTTCATTATAATCTACACCCCCTTGTCTTCCTGCGTGAACGGAGCCCCAGTACTTGGCTGACCACTCCCCTCTATGCCGCCCTTATGCATCAGGCACCACAACACATTGCTCCTCAACTCTGATGAGCGTTATTAAGGACTAAGCATTTTGAGTGCCTTTTTTAAAGTTGCAGCATTTAGATTCCTGTACAGACAATATTCTAGTGCATTTGTCAATGAAAAGCTATCCATTTGTAATGAATAAATCTGTTTCTCTTGTTTTAATTTATTCCTTCTTTGAGTGCTTTTTTGCCTGGCTATCATCAAAATTGAATAGCCTTTCTTCCAAGTAATCTTTAGCATTTCTGCTTCCTTTGTCAACCACCAGCTAGGCCCTTACCACACTCTTCTTCACAGATTGTCCCCATGACTATTAGCATAGTTGTATCTCCACACCTCCATCACAGTGTCTGAGATGCCACTGCCCAAACTTCTTCTCTCCACATAATTTCAAGTCCCTCTTGGAACCAACTCTGGCCTCAGCCTACAGCCTTGCATCCATATCTGGTGCAAAGTCACCTAGGGAGTATCTTCTATGAGCATGGCCTCCACTTTCATATCCCTGCTCAAAGCCTCCTCTAACCAGCCTTTTACAAGAGAGAGAAACTTCTAATTTAATCAATGCATCTTGTTTTAACTGTGGCAAGGGATGTGGATGAATGCGCTTTCATTTTTTTTTTTTTTTCATCTGAGGCTCTTTTGGAAGGGCTGGTATTGGGCTTGTCAGAAAGTGCATTAATACCAGCTGAACAATAGAGTCAATAATGTGGGATTTGTGCTGTATGTCAAGTCTAACAAACAAAACATAGCAAAGATGGCTCTCTTTAATTTTTTTTTTTTGGACTGGTAACACTGAGAATTGTTCAAGGATACAGAGCCTAAATTTGGATAACTTGCCTTGGGTTTTCACTAATAAGATTTCTAGGAATCAGGCTTATTTCAAAACCACATGTGCATACTGTGTTTGTCTCAGTTTGTCATTCCTATGTTCTGGCAAATTTCTGGGTCTAATTCCAGGATGTTGCAATTTCCCCAGGGGTACCACAAAAGGGGTACCATGAGCCTGGTTAATTTTCTGATGTGGCTGTCAAAAGACAAAAGAAACTCCAACTGATTGCTTTTCCCACATTTTATAATTATTTGCTTCAGGGAAGTATATGCCAGCTAAGGCACTATACAGATTTCTTTTTAAAGTACAGGTCTAACTATCCCAAAACCACTCACTTCCACAACCCAAGAACCACCTGTATATGTTCTTCCATTCAAGAAACTGCTAATTCCCAGGACTATTGAGCCTAGGATATTAGATATCCCCTGTCTATTAATACATTGCTCCCCACCTCACCCCCAGCCTTTATGCCAGGATGTCATGCTAATAAATGATCCATCATTCTCAGCTGCCAGGCTTTGTAGGGTGAAAACCCAAGTCCTGTTAGATCAGAGCTGCTGTCTGCATCACTCAAAGCATGTGGTGCCATGCATGGGTTAATTTCATACAGCTCTTCAGTTGAGCACCAGTGCTAAGGGCTTAATGGGACACCATGGCATTCTATCCTGCAGATTTTAAATTAAAGTTTGAGACCCCCCTCAGGACATGCACAGTACTCCAATTAACACTAATTGGCATTACACATGGTTATCAAGTGAAAAACATAGTTTTCCTGAAAATGCCTTTTCCTTTCTCCTGCTTTAAAAAGCCCATAAATTCTAAGAAAATGATCGTGGGTGCATGCAAAGATTAGTTAGAATGATGTCTAGCATGGTGTTTGTATTGGGAAAACACTGGAAACAGCCTAAATGTCTATAATGGGGGTGTAATTTACATAAAAGATAGTAGAGACAAAAGCAATAATTTTTTAATGTTATGAATAAATTCAATGTGAGAAAATGTTCATGATACACTGTTAAGTGAAAAAAGGTAAAGAATTATAGGAGTGGCATAATATCACTTTTCTCCATAGCTCAGGCAAAAAAAGACTGGAGGGATATATACATTAAAATGTAAAGCTCTGGGTGGTGAAACTTACCTTATATCTTATTCATTTGCATCTCTAACTTTCTATTTTAAAAATTGGATTGCTTTTGCAAAAAGAAAACATCATTTTTCAAAGTCTATCATTGATTCCTGGAGAAAAAAATGCAACATAATGATTTATTTTGAAAATGTTTTTAATCCATTCTCATCTGTACCAACCCTGGTTTAAGGGCACTGAGAATGCTGTATCGATAATGTGTTAATAGTTCTCAATGGAATTATGAGGACAAACAGAGCTGTACGTGTGTGGAAAGGTGAACACTGGAGTGAATTGTTGCAAATGCCCATTCTCATGTTCAGACTGAGTCAATTATGCCAAACTCCGCTGCCCGCCCCCCGCCAAAGGTTCATTTATGTCCCTGTGTTTCTCTTCCAGAGCCAAAGATGTTTGTCTTGCTGTATGTTACAAGTTTTGCCATTTGTGCAAGTGGACAGCCGCGGGGTAATCAGTTGAAAGGAGAGAACTACTCCCCAAGGTATATCTGTAGCATTCCTGGCTTACCTGGACCCCCAGGACCCCCCGGGGCAAATGGTTCCCCTGGGCCCCACGGTCGCATCGGCCTTCCGGGAAGAGATGGTAGAGACGGCAGGAAAGGAGAGAAAGGTGAAAAGGGAGCTGCAGGTAATGAATGATGAAGTCACCCCTCCTTCAACCCCACCTTAAAACTGCTCCCGTTTTTGTCATTTGTTCTAATGGGAATTGCTCCTTCAATCCCTTCTCTACTTTGCCTGCGTTAGGCGTAACAATTTATTAAGCCCTTACTAGGCTTCAGATGCTGCTCTAAACTCTTTACCTGAATCTTTATTTCATTATAACGACAACTCCTTCAGGTGGACATTATCACATTTTATAGGTGAGAACATTGAGCCGCAGCATGATTAAATGAACTGCCAAGAACAGACATGGATGGACGTGCACTGCTAGTGACTGCCAGTGCGGGCTGGACTCAAACAGCTGACACCCAGGGTCACCGGGCTATTGCTGCTAGCAGGCAGTGGCTAGATGTGCGAGTGTATGGATGGACAGAGAGAGGGGTGAGGGGGAAGATGGACAGACTGCACAGAGGCAGAAATTAGGAGCCAGATGCACAGGTGCCATCCTGCCCGGAACTAGTGTCTTGAATGAAAATACTTAACGGGCTTCTAGATTTTATTTTTCATGGATGAAATGACAATAGCACTGTATAGCCTTCCTTTCCTACCTCATCACTTTCCCACCTGTCCTGTAGCAGCTAAAAAGTAGATTTCTGCAGCTCTTTACAGAAACACAGTTGTCCCTTAGTCCTTCAGTAATTTTCACTTTTTTTTCCCCCAAAAGATGAGTTGGCCCGGGAAGCTTGCCAGATTCTGCAGTTCTTCAGAGTAAACTGAATTGAAATTCTAGAGAGGCTGTGTTAACTCTAAAAGGGGAAAGGATGTGAAATCAATCTTTGAAAACGAGTTCCTGAGTGTAAAAGTTGGGACAAAGATAGGAAGGGAAAAAATCAATAGATCTAAGAATGTGGCTCTAACCACTGTACCTGATTTACTGGTTTTCTGTGAAACAAAACCATAATATATATTTAGATTACTGGATATTAATTCATATCTGAATTTGCCATGCAGAAAATATATGGCAAATCGGTAGCTACCAAATCTGTGAACACTGTGAATATTAGATGAAAAACCTTTAATGTGGAGTTTACATGTAAGTTTTCAAAGACATCAATAGGGTAACACCCATGACTACAAGTTACCACTGAGCCATGACTGTGAATGTCCTAGAAATCCTATAATAACACCAGATTATAGTTATACCTGGTGTATATTCATATACTATTCATATATAGTATATGGAAGCAATAATGTAGTGGCTATGCATACAAGCATTGGAGTCAGAAAGACATTGGCTCAAATCCTGGCTCCCTAAATTAATAATCTAGTATCCTTGGGCTACCATCCTCTTTGAACCTCAGTTTCCTCTTTGTAAATTGGTGGTAGTAAAGGCAATTGCAAAGTTTAAGGGCAATACTACATGCAAGACGCTCCACAGAAAAACTGCCATGAGGTAAGTACTCAGTAAATGTTAGCTGTTATTACTTACCATACTTTGATCTGCAAATACGGATCACAGCTAAATTTGTGACTATCCAAAGCAATATAATAAACTAGAAATGAGTAATTTGTTTCATGAGGTAGTTGTAGTGTTATTTAAAGATATGTATGTGGATATGCATTCAGATTAAATTAGATGTTCAGAATTGCTACAATTTTAGCCATATATGAGGCCAGCTATACACCCATATTCATTAATCTATTTCTTCATCCGTGCACCCATGCGTTACTCATCCAACAATATTTTTGTGCTCCTATTACTATCTAGTATTATTCTAGACCAGTGTTTCTCAACCTCCACACTAATAACATTTTGGAAAGAATTATTATTTACTGTGGGGTGGCTATCCTGTGCATTGCAGGATGTTTAACAGTATCTCACTAGATGCCAGTGTCACCCTCCTCCAAACTGTCACAACCAAAAATTTCTTCGTATATTATCAACTGTCCCTTGGGTAGGGAGGTGAATAGTGCAAAATTGCACCTAGCTGAGAACATCATTCTAGACACTGGAAATACGAACATGAGTAAGACATTGTCCTTGCCTTGGTAAGCAGATATTCCTGTTGGGGACACCAACATGTAAATACATAATTACAAAAATTCATGTTAATAACCATTTATTAAGAACTTACTATTTATCAGGAACTTTACATTTAGTACCTAATGTTCACCAAAACCCCATCAGCAATAATTATAATCAGCAATAATAATAATGTTACAAATAGAAAAATTGAGATTATTTAAATCTAATATACACCCATAAGGACATAGAACAGCTCAGAAAGGACAGGTGAGAATGACTATATGATCAATGAAGAGAGGCACACTCACTTGGCAACTACAAGAACCAAGCCCTGGAGCTTTGGCGATATGTTTTTAATGTGGCTGTAACCAGGCAAAATGTGGCTGGGAGCTTCTGCTCCCTGTTTCCCCTTTAACAATACCACAAGTGTCTTCTAGTTTGTGAACCCTCGGTGAACACCCCTGACTACATCTACCCCAACTGAGTCCAGGCAGAATCCAGGGTATTTTTTGTCCAACTTCCCTACCCTGAATTAGAAATACAGAGCTTATTATACTGAATAATAAATTTGCTGTAAAAATATTTGTCTCCCTCGCTGGTCTGTTGCCATTATTATTGTGGCATATTATTAACATTTAATTCAATCTGAATGCATAGCCACATAAATGTCTTCAAATAACATTAGAACTACCACATGAACCAGATCGCTCATTCCAGTTTATCACATGAATTTCAGTATTCGTGAACTTAGCTATGGCCCATATTTGCAGATCACAAGGTAATATGCCATAACAGCTAACTTCAGGGTGGGACAGGTGTCATTCATGTTCTAGCCCAGTGACTGAGTATGTAGTGAATGGCTGATCAATATTAGATGGTTTAGATGAATGCATGCATGTACGCATAGATTCATGGATGGATGGATGAAAGGAAGGAAGAAATGGCACTGAAGAAGAAATCTAGGTAGACCCATTTCACGGAGAACTAAGAAGAAATGCTTTCTGGCCTAGCTTCAGTACCTAAGCATAGACTAACCCTTACTACATAGTTCTCTGCTCTGCCTAAACATATGTATAACTGAAAAGGGAGAGAAAGAATGATTCATCCCTTATTTCCACTCTTAATTTGTCAGCACATGGACAAATGCTTCACGCAACAGGAAGAATTACTATTAATATAAATTATTACAGGTAGTTCATGATTACCTATCACCCAGAAGTTTGTATATTAAATAAGTATTCCTACAGAAAATCTAAACGTTGAGGTTGTGAAGGCCTTTTTGTTGATAGCATTGTAAAATTGCACCCTATATGTATGATTTGGTCTCAAAGAATTTTTAAAAGAGTGAAACCTCGGACAATCTAGTCCAACACCTTCATTTCAAGGACTGGGAAACTAAAGCCAGAGAGATCAAGCCCCTTCTTCAAATTCACCTAACTATGCATGGCTGAACTGGGGCCTTATCCTAGCTCTGCTGAGCCACTGTTTACTGCTTTGTCCACTAAGTTTGGAGTGGACTTAGATCCAATTTCCCCTTATTACAAATGGGGCATTTAAAACCCAGAAAATAAGTGACTGGCCCAAAATCTTAAAGGCAGGAAGATTCAAGTACATAATGAAATTTTATGTTCAAAATTGTTACTGAGATCAAAATGGTTTTTATTAATGCGTCAAACGTCAGTGATGAAGACACAAAGAGATAAGCTCCTACTGAAGATAAAAATCATAATTTAGAAGTTGTAGTCCTTGATTCCAAAGAATTTAACATCAAAATAATATTCACATTCCATTTCTACCAAAAAAGAAGCAAATATTAATAGATCAGACTATTATGACCTTATCTCAAGAAATAAATATCAGAGTGTGTTCTGGCTGACACCAATAGTTTCAACCTAACAGGAAAAGCCATCTACAATCTGAAGCTGTCAGACAGAACTGTGATCCATAATAATGCTGATCCTGACTCTCTGAGAGAGGGTCACATTCATTGTTATCATCTTCTATGCATCATAAATTGTTGAACAGCAACTTTCCAGAATTATTAAAACAAAATACTTGACATTTTAAGGGAAAAGCTTTAATTCTCTTCAAATTGACATTACCCAGAACACTTCATTGTTAACTTTGCCAAGTAATTGAGAAATGATCGAATTTCAAACTCATATATTGATGTATGTGTAATATTCAAATAAATGATACCAAAGAACTATCAAGGTAAAAAGTCCCAGGTTAATAAAAGTTCTTGAGAACAAAAACATAGTTAAAAATGAAATTACACAATATATCAACAATATATTTTCCCCAAATACAAAAGTACATTATAGGTTACCAATAATTTGGATACTTTTTAAGAAAATATCATTATATAAGCACTATTTATGGAATGGATTTGGCCATAAAATTGAATGACATCTTTTTATGATATCAAGTCATTGCTTTTATATATATATATATGTGTGTGTCTGTGTATGTATATACATATATATGAGATTTAAAAATTAAATTCGTTTTGCTTATTACTTTCAACCAGGATCATTATTTCTCTGCATTTAGCCTACAGTTGGTTTACAGATATAAAGATTTAGACAGACAGAAAACATTCCTGTATGGTGCTTTGAATTTGTTGAAATCCTTTCACAGCTATTATGTCTTTTCTGTATATAAGGAGACCCAGAAAAATTAAGGGACTTGCCTAAAATGATACAACAATTTAGTGACAGAGCCAAAGAGAATTTAGGATTTTTGACTATAGCCCCAAAACCAAGAGGAATTTTGATGAAGGGAAAACATTAAGGCTATGAAGGCTTGGATTCTAATCCCAGGCTTACTGCAGAAACAAGTTTCCTTACCTTTCTGGGACTCAATATTCTCTTCCAAAAAGGACTACTGCATGGTGGTGGCAGTCATTGTTTTTTGTTTGTTGTAGCATGTTGAGCCCTTGCTATGTGCACCAAATGCTCTTGACAGTTTTCACCCTGGCCACTACCCCCAGTGGGGATGTTCAGGCTCCAGCGCCAGGAAGGCATGAGTACAGATTGCAGCTCCATCACTCACTAGCTCTGTTCTCCTAAGCAAAATAATTTCTTTATGGCTCAGTTTCCTCATCTGCAATGGAAGTAACAATAATTCCTAGTTTATAAACTCACTGTGAAGCTTAAATAAGATAATGCATGCAAATATAGCACATACATGCAAATATGTCCCTAGTACATAGTAAATGCTTGATAAGTATAAGCAAATCTAATTAATTCTTTTATATTAATACTAACAGAAATAGAATGGGCATGAGATGGTCCGTAAGGATTTGTCTGGTTCTGTCTGCTTCCATGAGACCACTCTGGGAAATAATATAATAGCATCATACTCATTGAATTCTTACTAGAGTGATTAGTATCTATATGTGAATAACAGGTGATCCATCATCAGAATGATTGTTCATTATTTTAAATTTGTCAGGGTTTAAATTATTTCTTACATACTCAAAAAAATTGGCTTAGATTCTGATGAAATTTTTTTATTTTCATTTTTAGTGCATCAGTGATATTTTTAAAGGTTTATCATTTAGACATACACTGTTATGCTATTGAAGGTTGACTTAAAAGACAACGTCAGGGTGTGCTGGGACTGTGTAGGTATGCTCTTTGTGACTGTGTATTTAGAGGGGGAACTAATTAACTATACACTCTTTTTGAAGGTTTGAGAGGTAAGACTGGACCAGTGGGTCTTGCTGGCGAGAAAGGGGACCAAGGAGAGACTGGGAAGAAAGGACCTATGGGACCAGAGGGAGAAAAAGGAGAAGTGGGTCCAGTTGGGCCTCCTGGACCAAAGGGAGACAGAGGAAAGCAAGGGGACCCAGGGCTGCCTGGAGTTTGCAGATGCGGAAGCATCGTGCTCAAATCCGCCTTTTCTGTTGGCATCACAACCAGCTACCCACAAGAAAGACTACCTATCATATTTAACAAGGTCCTCTTCAATGAGGGAGAGCATTACAACCCTGCAACAGGGAAGTTTATCTGTGCTTTCCCAGGGATCTATTACTTTTCTTATGATATCACATTGGCTAATAAGCATCTGGCAATTGGACTGGTACACAATGGGCAATACCGGATAAAGACCTTTGACGCCAACACAGGGAACCATGATGTGGCTTCGGGGTCCACAGTCATCTATCTGCAGCCAGAAGATGAAGTCTGGCTGGAGATCTTCTTCACTGACCAGAATGGCCTCTTCTCAGACCCGGGATGGGCAGACAGCTTATTCTCTGGATTTCTTCTATATGTCGACACAGACTACCTAGATTCCATATCAGAAGACGATGAACTGTGATCAGGACTGCTGATCTGAAGGTTCTGAGATCCCCATGGCAGGCAGTTGGATCTAATCTGGGGCTCTAGAAGGTGGAACAAAAAGGAATAGGATCCAAAGAGATTCCCACTCAGATTCCAGAGCATTTACAGACAGTTCTAGCAGAATCTATCAAAACAAGATGAACCACCAAACAGTTGAAACCACACCAAAATGAATTATATAAAACAATATCCCCAGATATGAATTCTCTTGAAAGCAATGTTTATAAATATTTAAACAAATTAAAGACAATGTTAACAAATTTTATATTAAATGCCCTGAGTGATTAAACCAACTGGCAATGATATTGCCTCATTAAATCTTCAAAAAATTTCATTTTTGTCTATTATTTAAGAGAATAATAACACCCCAGTCTTTGACAATTCTCAAAAGGCTATAGTAAGTCAAAAACCAAAGGTAAGAGATGCTGAGTATTTTCAAGCAAGCTAAAATGAAGTGATAAATTTCTTTTGTTTTATTATTTATTCCTTCACGCTTGTATATATTCACTCAATGACTCTTTAATGAGCCTGTATGGACCAGACACTGTGGTGCTGGGTCAGATTTAGTAATGAGTTAAGCCAAAATCTCTCCTTTCAGACAAGTTAGTGTGTGGCAAGCATGCTATCACAATTCAGTGTGATGAGCACCATGGCAAACAGATTGATTTGATACTATAAGCACACAGGACCTGCAATTCCTGGGGCTGGAGGCCAGACAAGGTTGTACACATGGAAAAACACAAGTCATGCCCAGGTATGTGTGTTCAAGTGGGTATGATGAATGCAAAGGGAGCAAGAAATTCAGCGTCTGTCTTCTCCTTTTTCCACTCTCAACACCTCATTGGTATTTTCAACTGGGAAGGGGTGAAAAACCTAGAGATAGAGGAGACCCAGGGGAGTTACGGAAATGTAGACTGAAATGAAGAGGAGCAGCCAATAAATCATCCTCCCGAATCCTGTAGCATGATGGTTTCCCAGGACAAACATTTGTCCTAATAGCGTTCTCATAAACATGAGCACTACTTTACATTGTGGTAAGACATTGTTTCCCTTGGATGTCCTAAGTCTCGAATTCAAATAAAGCAAAGCCTATGTCCACTGATTGATGAGTGAGCTGATGGGGAGGATGAACAGGAGGAACAGGAGGAGAGAGACCAAATGTCTGAGTAAACAGATGTCCCTTCCAAGTCACACTTCCCTTAGTCCCACTTTCTCATCAGTGTCAGCACCTTGTGCCTCACTGAACTGCAATTCCTCATTTAATCTCATCCACAATTCTGTCTCATCTACCACTCCCTTGGCTTGTAGTAATAGTATTTTCTTAGTCCCTCCCTTCAATATCTTCTAATTTTCCTTCTATGTATTCCTCTATTGGCTCATTCCATTAATAAATCTTTTTAATGCCTCTTATGTTTGAATCACCATGCTGGATTATATGAAGATAAAGGAACACCAAGATGAATATGGCACAAATTTCTAAGGATGCAAGAAAGGAAATGACATGCACACACACAAAAATATCTATTAATATAATTCTGGAAAACAAGATGCTAAAATATGATGTGTTAAACTTGAGATAGAAGCAAAATGCTGTGAAAGAAGAAGAAATGTTTACCTACAAATTAGAGAAAGGTGTGAGAGAGGAGGACCTGGATCTCAAGTCGTGGGTAGGACTTGGAGTGGCCCAAGTCGGGCAAAGGGCACTTAAAACAAAGGTAATTATGGCGACAAAGCATGAGTGTGAGAACAGACACCCAGAAGGAGAATCAATGGACCATATTTGTAAGAGCCTCAAAAGCCAGACTGAGGGTAGGGAACTTTCCTCATAAGAAAGTATGGAGTCCCTGTGTGTTTCAGAGCTGGGTGCCACCATTATCAGAGGTGAAATTTGCAATGAAAAAGCAGTTGTGTGTGAGGACAATGCTTGCTTCTCCTGTCTTTCAGCCCTGTCTTGCTTTCATTGCCTTCTTCTGCCTCCCTACTTTGTCCCCTTGTTGCTCTCCTTCTGATTCAGGACACGGAACCAAGAGATCAAGAACAATGAGCATTGGACCAGTATGAGAGAGCAAAGGTGGTTTGAGATAGCCACCTGCCTATAGAGAACAGCTAAGGCTAGAATTCCAGGTTATAAAGGATAAAAAGCAACCAACAGAAATAGCTAATCTAGGAAAAATCAAAATATGGGCCCTTTGAAGACCACAGGATTTGCTAGAGAAATGAGAAATGGAAAAGTTATTATAGGCAGTCATAAACTACAGATTACTATGATTAAAATTTTCTTCTGATCGTAATCCACAAATGCATTCATTTTTTGGACATTGTTTACTTATCTTTTAAATGTTTCTTTTATTACAAAGCCTATTTTAAGTAGCTTTTAAAACTGAAGTTCCTTTAATTGGTTCTAGGCCCAGAGATGAGTTTTATTTTGAAATATCTGGTGGGGTGGTGCTGGAGATAGGAGAGCTGATGTGGGAAAGGGAGAGCCGTTTTGGTATTAAAAGGATAAAATCTTAAGCAAATGCAGGTGTCTTTTATTCCTAAAAAAATAGCAGATATAATTTATGTACATTTATGTTTATTTGTATAAAGAAAGAAGAAGAGCGATTTTGGTTTAAAAAATTCCAAGTCGCATTCCAATCATTCTTTGTAAGGGCTGACTTGTAATGAATATGTATTAAGCAAAATTTATTGACTATACACCATCTTGTTCCAGAAGGATTTAAAGCCACTTACAGAGATAGATAAAATACAAAAAGAAAACAGCAGTAAAAAGCAGATGAGAAGAAAAGGGCAAGACAAACAAAGCAGGAAAGAGTGAGGCTAACACAAAGCTGTGTGTACATGAACGAGCATCTGCCTGTGCTACACAGTCACAGGACACGTGTTTCCTTGTGCCTGTGCGTGCACAAGGGCATTTCCAGGTCACTTGTCATTGTGAATAGTGTTGCTTATCGTAAAAAAAAAAAAATAGATTCCATAAACTCTGAATATACTTTTCTCTACCACTCCATGTAAAATATCGTGAACATAAATAAATTTTAAATATTGGGTATGTTTTGTTTTATACATACCTTCCTCTCACCCTTTCCTTCTGTAGCTCCACTGTCAGTAAATAGCATCACTGCCCACCCTGCACCAAAGCCAAAAATCTAAGCTGCATTTTAGACATCTTCCGGAATTCCCCGCTGAATTTTGCCCAGCATAAAATTCTTATGTTTCTAGCCACTAAATGCACATCTCTGATTCATTGTGCCTTTCCATTCCCCGTGCTACAGTTTCATTCATACATTCACCATCACTTCCCTGGATCAGTACGAAATTTTGTAACTGAACATTTGCCTCCAACCACAACCTTCCAATCCATCCTCCACATCCTAGGCTGCATATGTACTTCTAAAATGCAAATGCTCATGCCATTTGCCAGCCTTAAAACTGGTAACAGCTCTCCCAGTCCCTACAACACAAAAGATATCTTGAACTTCTATGGGTTTTTGTATGAGGCTTGTATTTCATATTCTTTTTATCTAGTATCCATACCCAATTTCCTTCTGAAGACCCATCTTTCTTTGCATGCTAAGTGTAGGAGCTTCTCAGTAGAATTGACTCTTCCAGTACGTAAATCTCCAGCCTGATTAATCAAAATATACCATTCCACCTACCCAAATAATTGACTCAGCAGATAACTCAGTCAGAGCCCATGAAACTTTTCTGGGATGTCTGTGATAGAGAGTCTTATGCTTTCCCACTGGACTTGAGCTTCAGAGCCTCTACCAGCCATCTTACCAGCACAAAAAATACCACTCAAGAATGGATCCATCCACAGGTGAAGCAGCAAAACAGAGGCAAAGAGAGAAAAATGGGTCTTAGAGTCATCATTTGAACACTGATCTGGACATGCCCCTAGCCAGCTCTTCCCTTGGACTTTTCAGGTATGGCAACCATTAATGCCACTTTTACTTAAGCTCTTTGAGTTTTTTGGTCACTTGCAAAAAATGTTATCCTACCTAATCTGTTTTCTTGCACAGTCCCATCTCTAAAAGTCACCACATACCACCTACACTCCAAGAAAGTGAAGATTACTGCAGTTCTAGGATGCCTTCCCTTTCATGCCTCAGAACCTGGTGTTTCATTTGCTCAGAATGCCGTCGTTGTCCTCGTCTGCCTGGCTAACTCACTTCTTAAGACTCAGCTCGAAAGTGACCTTCTTTCCTCTAATCTTTCCCTTCCCCTGTGCCCAAAGGGAACCACAGATGACTTCATGTGTTTTCCTTACCGTCTGGGAACTAGTGCATAGTCACGGCAGCAACAGCAAACACTCACCGAGTACTTTTTAAGTGGCTTGCATGTATTAGCTCACTTGGTCCTTGCTAGGGTCTGCATGGTTTATATAACCTCAAAATTCATATGCTGAAACCTAATCAGCAATGTGATGGTATTATGGGGTGGGGCCTTTGGGAGGTAATTAAGTTATGAAGGCTCTGCCCTCAAAAATGGGACTAATGCCCTTATTTAAAAAAAAAAAAAAAAGGCCCCAGAGAGTTCCTTCTGCCATGTGAGTACACAGTGAGAAGATGGCCACTGATGAACCAGGAGGCATGTCCTCTCCAGACACCAAATCTGTTGGCACCTTGATCTTGGAGTTTCCAGCATCCAGAACTGTAAGAAATAAATGTCTGTTCATAATCTAACCAGTTCTTGATATTTTCTTATATCAACCCAAATAGACTAAGACAGTCCTCACAACAATTATTCTGCCCATTTTAAAGATGGGAAAACTGAGGGAAAGAGGTTCAGAAGTGTGTGAAGTAAACAGCAGTGGTACAGTAGCCCCAGCAGGCAAGCTCCAGAATACATGCTCTTCACCACCACGTTGGGGCATCGCTCACATGTTTTATATTTGTCTATCTGATGGAAAGTTTGACCTATTCATTTTTATATCCAAGCACTCTGCACCGTGACTGACATAGTATGTGCTAAATAAAAATGTGATGAAGTCATCAGTGACAAGTTCTTTTCAGTCACAATCTATACATGTGGTTGGGGTGCACAGTAGGAAAGCCCTGTAATCATCTTATACATTAATCAAGATTCTTTAGACTACGATTGTCAAAATCACACTCATCCTGGCTCTAGAAAGAGGGACTCTCTGAAATAACAAAAATTCCTGGGCCAGATATAGGCACTCAATCATTGTCACCAGGATTTTCTCTCTCTCCATCTTACAGAATAGCTCCCCTCAGTGCTGGTTTTACTTTCGAACAGGTTCTTCCCTTTGTTGCAAAGATGGTCACTAGCAGTTGTTCCAGGTTTGCATTTTGCAGTCCTGGCAG